TCGATAAATCAATCCCTGCAACAATAACAGTTGCATCTGCATTCTTGGCTGCTTGCATTGCAGGGAATATCAAGCTTGCATTCTTGCACATTATATCTCCGCAACCCATTGCATATTGCACTTCTGCGTATTTTGAGAAGCCATCAATTGGAGATGTATATTTACACGGGATACCTGCAATTTTCGACCAAAAATTTGTGAAGACTCGATGTGAAAGATTAACGATAGAAAATTGTTAGACCGGTACATTTATACCTTCATAATTCCCAATCATGGCAGTGGTAGCATTTGCATGTGGCCCAACAACTGCTATTGTTTTAATCTCGTCCGTGTTCAAAGGCAGAGTTCCGTTTAAGTTCTTGAGAAGAACCATTCCTTCTCTTGCTGCTTGAGTTGCCAGTTCAATGTTTTCATCAGAACACACATCCTGCTTGCCAAGAGACTCGTATTTTGAGCTTCCATCAAAAAAACCAAGCCTCATTAGCACAATATAGAGGTTTTTGAGGGCCTCATCTATGTCTTTCTCACTAATTTTTCCTTGCATTACTGCTTTGTCAGCATAATTCGTGTAGTAATTCCCGCAATCCAAATCCAAGCCTGGATGAATAGAAAGAATCAGATCATATAATTGGCCCGAAAAAAAAAATTAAAAATAAATGATAGACAATGACAAGCCTGCTTTCATAGCTTGTGAAACAGCGTCTTCTGGTTCGTCATGGAGCCATTTTTGATTGTCTACCATTACTTCAATAGAATCACAATCCGAAACTATGTATCTGCAATGCAAAATTTGTTATTCGATTAGACATATGCTGCAATATGATAAGATCTTTAAAAGAATTGAAATTTTTGTATATGAATACCCGTGAAGGTCCCATTCTCCCCTAAGAGTATCCTTCAGAAGCTTTTGATCCGCACAAGCTGGAATGCCATTGATGCGATTGAAAGAGCACATAACACTCATAACATCTCCTTCTTTTACACACATTTCGAAGGGTTTTTGGAAAGTCTCCAGCATGTCTTGTTCAGTTACCTTAACACAGAAACAAACAGAAGATTAAAATTATGAAGAAATATGACTTGATAAATGATTCATTTTTACATGTTTATTTTACCAGAGCATCGTAAGTGGTGCGATCAACTCCGAGCCAACTATCGACATCATAAGCCGCATAATGCTTGCAACAAGCAGCAACCTTGACAGGTCTGGAGTTAGGGTCATCAGTACTTTCAAGCCCTTCGATATCCTGCAAACCTCTGACATAGTTTGCTGCATATGTTCCAACAACGAATGGATCTTCACCGGGTGTCTCTAATGTTCGTCCCCATCGGGGATCTCGTACCACATTAATGTTTGGACTCCAGAATGTCAGTCCAGCATGTCCTAGATTATACATAGCTCTTGCTTCAGTCGACACAACCTGCAAATGTGGGGGAAAAAATCATTGCTCTATTTAGTATTATTCAATACTACATACTGAATCACATGTACGTCTAGTCCTATGCATCAAACATAATCCGAATTTACCTGGCCAATGGTTTTCCACAATGTCTGATTAAAAGATGCAGTTGTTGTAATGGGACAAGGGAAGCTTGTTGCACCAGGGACAACGTCATCAAAAAACGTGGCCTTGCTATTCAACTGGCCTACTTTGGAGACACCGTGCAATGCCTCCGACCACCACTCATACTTAGCAAGTCCAATCCGGGGAACTCCATAAGCTGTATCCCCAATCTGTTGCACCTTTTCCATCAATGTCATTCTATCAATCAAATCCTTAACCCGAACACCATACGACAACGATGAATCACAATAGGTGAAATAATCCATGTCCAATCCAAGGTCATTAAACCTTTGTGGATCACAAATCTTTGTGTAAATTTTGGTAAGATTTGACGGTGAATCATTAATTGTGGCAATTGAAGGGGCATTTCTTGCCTCAGAAATGGCCAAAAGAACAAGTATAGAACAGAGAAGAAAGGAAATTTTGGCCATTTTTTTTTTGTTACATAATGTATATAGAAATGGCCTATTAATAGGATTTGGAAACTTATCCATTTTCATTTTAGATTAAAATTAGATAAGACAATATTATCTCAAAATATTCATATTCTGTTGAATTCAAAATCCATATTGTTTGAAATTCGGTTAATTTTAAATCTTTCAAAATCCTGAAACCCAAAATATCATGATATTAGTGGAGTAATTTGTAAACAATAATTTTTAAATGATTATAAATTGTTGGATATAATACTATCTTATTTAATGATGGTAAATTGAGTGATATCCAATAGAACAATAATGACAATAATATCTTTTATAAGTAACTAAATTTTAACTTTCACCATCATTAATTACGAATTAAGGCTTTGCTCAAAAAAAGTAATAATTAAATTAATTTCTATTTGAATAATCTAATCCCATAAGCATGTTTGATAACATAATTTAGATAATACTGTCGAAGATAAGCTAAAATTTTAATTTATTAAAATATTATATTTCTACTTCTTCTTCTACTTCTTTTTTTTTAAAAAAAAATTTATGAATCTTCACGTACTATCTCGGTATAATAAATTACTAGGAATAGATACAAATTATCAACTTTTATTTGCCACATAAAAGTTATTGAAAGATAAGATATATTTTGACTTCTTTGTATACCCCAATTCAAAATTGTTAAAAAAATTAGATTTTAACCATAAATCGAAAAGAAAAATATATCCAAATCCAGATTTAATGAAGATAAGATTTTACAACAATCAAAAAATTTTCCCAACTGCAAAATATACATCAAAGCAGACAAAGTCTTTTCTGACATGGCTTAAAGAATTACTAAATTCGTGGTGTACAGAGAAAATTAATAAAAACTAATTTGCACAAGATGTGTAGAAGCATAATATTATAATAAATTAAAATTTTAGCTTATAATTAGGTGATTCAAATAGAAGTTAATTTAATTATTAATTCCTTAATTTTTTTTTGGCTAAGCCTTAATTGGCAATTATTAATTAATAATGGTGGAAGTTACAATTTAGAATCTTATATGAGATATTATTGTTATTACTGTTCTGTTTGGATCTTACTGAATTTACAATCATTAAATAAGATTTATTAAACTCAACTATTTCTCAATTTATTGTACACATAGACATGCATGCACACACGTTATTTTTCATAATTTGTTGATTAGAAGTAAAATATTCAGTAAATTTACCCTTGTTGAAAATGAAGTTTAGAAATATGATAAATTGTTGTGCTAATTTTTCATATTTTTCTTGAATAATTTTTGAGTTATGTCGAAATAAAAATGAAAATCGTTGAAAGCTGAATTTTGTTGTGTTTTTTTTTTTTTTTTTTTGGTAATATATTCAATATATTAATGAAGAGAAAATATGTTGGATAAGAACTTGTATGCAACTATTCATACATTTTTCTTCAACCAAAAGATACAGCGACGATCTTGATGAGTTCAGAACATTTAAAATAAACACACTAATTGATATGTATATGCAAAAACCCATTTTCCTAAGCATGTTGTATGCCACATTCTGCAAATATTCTCAAACTAAAATAATTAATAATGTTCATGTATTTTGGTATATTAAAAAAAATATATATCAAAAACCACTGCGCTGCATCTCCTTGCAGATTTTTCCATGGTTTTGATGGTTCTTTAGAAGAAAATATGCAATTTATCAACCGAAAACTTTGGTATAAAAAAAATTATAATAATGTTCTGATGATCTCTCACAATTAATTCTTCTCTAAAATCCCTTGAGTGTAAATTTAATTTGTTGTCCTTTGTTGAGCCCAAATAAATATGCCTCACATTCTTGGCCACTTGGAGTTCTTTGGGCTGGGTTTATTGTAATGGATCTTGGTCCATTTATTAAGAGAAGCATGTTCCCATGAAGTGCAACTTATGCCTTTCTTCAAGATAAGATCTGGCCATACATATGGCCATCTCCTCACTGTCGATCAGCGACTGTTTGCCTTACCTGATTAAAACACTTGGACGCCTCATTCTTTTTCGAGAGAGATCTATTCTGGTTTTCTAAGTGTATTCTAGGGTTTCTCTTTTCTCACGCATCACTGATATCTCTGAGTGAAAATATTTCTATAAATCTAAGGGTCCGTTTGATTGTAAAGATGGAATTGAATTGCCTAGAAAACGAATTCTAGGGAATTGAATTACCTAGAATTGTTTTCCTGGGAATTGTAAATTATTGTGTTTGATTGGTATAATTTTCTACGTGGAAAATGTTGAAATAAAAGTGTTTTTTAATATTCGTTTGATTTTGTTTTACATGAAAATTGTCAATTAAAGGGAAATATTTTTTTACAATAATTCTTAGAATTGGTTTCCATTACCAACAAAAAAAAAAAATAATAATAATCGCTACTATAAGGTGGAATTTGAATTCTCACCCTAAAACAAGGAAAATTCCAAGTTCCAAGAAATCCAAGAAATGCAATTCCACGGAAAATATAAGGTATCAAACACCAAAAGTTGGAATTTCCAATTCCAATTCCATCTTCTTCTTCTTTTTCCATTTCCATGCTATCAAACACTCCCTAAGTGATTTTGATACTACACTTGATGTGTAACTTTGTGATACTGCTTCGTGCAAGTTTGTGGTGGTGTTGTGATAGCGAGATCAGAACTGTGAAGAAACTGTGTTTTTTCGTACATTTGTAACATTCTTGGGTAATTTTCTAGTGGGTCTAGAGCTAAATCTACTTAGTAAATGCTCAACGTGGTGAGTAGCCCGTAAAGCTGAACATCCGGGCCTTTGTGGCGAAAAAATCCTTTGTGTTCCATTTTTATTTCTCTTGCAACTTTATTTTTCTACGAATTTTGCGATAATTTGTTTTTCGTTTAACCTCTTGAGAACCTACAAGTGGTATCAGAGCATCTTCTCTAAAGGATTTGGATATGGTTTTGATTTTTTTTTAAAACCCTAAGTTTTTTAAAAACCGTTTTTATTCGTAGATCTTTTAATCTCAAAAAGTTTTCTTTACTGAGTGAAAAAATATGTTTCTCTGAAAATTTGATGGTATATCTCACATCGATTCATCTTTCTGGTTGGATCCCTTGAAATCTTGAATACTCTTCTAGGTTGATCTCTAAGATTTTATGATACTCATCAAGTTCTAGGGTTCGAAATCAATTTTTTTGATAAATTTTTCTGAATCGTTTTTAAACTTTGTAATCTGTTGTTTGTTCTGAGTTTTGGTGAGTAAAAAATTTTAAACTCACTACCGAGTCACGGTGATATTCTTGACTCACTCCGAGTCCTTGGTGAGCTGAGTCAACTCGTTCCGATTCTTACTGAATTCCCACTGAGTCATTATCAACAGTGAGTTGTTTGTGCTTATACTAAATTCTTGCATTGTCTCCGGTATACTCTGAACCCCCTCCTTATTATTGTTGATTACCTGTGTCAATCTTTGAAACTGGTTATTAAGGTAAGTCACCCTCTTGTGCTTTCCTTTGTCCAAGGTCTCATTTGAGGACCTAGGAATTTGAGGGAGTATTGGAACAAAGGGTCACCACCCCTTAAACCTTTTCAAGAATTGAGAATTGCACATTTAATTACAATATGTGTGATTCTGTCACTACATTTATCATCATGTCCACCGCACACAAAATTGAGAATGATGTATGGAATAAAAATGGTGACTTTAGTTTACGGAGACAAAAATTGAGGGCTCTGTTGTTACAACAGAGATGTGCACATGCTATTGATAACATTTATCCTGTTGAAACTAGTGCATATAGGAGACAAGAATTAGATGATATTGCTTGGAGCTCTATTTTTCTTCTTCTGTCTGATAGTGTAATCAGAAAAGTTGGTGAAACTACATATGCACAAGCCTTGTGGGATAAGCTGGAATCTCTTTACTTAATAAATCCACTCCAAATAAATGTTATCTTCTAGGACAGTTTTACAATTTCAGATTTGATACATCCTTAGGGCTAGAAGAAAACATTGATAAATATGTTAAACTAGTTCAGGATCTAGAAAATTGTGATGAAAATCTCTATGAAGATCAACAAGCTGTTGGCCTTCTAAACTCTTTAAGTGACAGATATAGGGAGATAAGAAATGTCTGGGAATATGGGGGGCAAGATCTTACAGTTGACATAATAATCTCTTCCCAAAGAAATAGGGAACTTGAATTGAAAGTTGAGTCAAAGGATTCTAGCTATGGTGAAGGCTTACACATAAAAGAAAAACAAAATTAAAATAAGAAGAATGCTATATGTAACTTCAACTCCCATAAAAAAGGTAAACCCCAAAATTCAAAATTCAGAGACAAAAATAGAAACCAAGTAAAATCCAAAAATCAAATTAGAAAATACTACTATTGTGGTAAAACAGGACACCTGATCAAAGATTGTTTTAAGAAATTATTTAATACAAAAGAAAAACAAAATTTTAATGGTTCTGCAGTTGTTGTCTACAAAGGATACCCAGATATACAAGGGGTTGTCCTTATTAATACCATCAATAGGAACCCAAATGAATGGGGTTTAGATTCTAGGTGCACCTTTCATATGTGCCCCATTAAAGATTGATTTTCTGATTTTGTTGATCTGAACGGGGGCAAGTGAAGATGGGAAATGACATGAGTTGTCAAATAAAAGGGATAGGAAAGGTGGATCTCCTGATAGAAAATAATTTTGTATTCAAACTAGACAAAGTGAGGTATGTACCTAAACTAAAAAGAAATCTAATTGCTTTGGGAGAGTTAGATGAAAAGTATGATATAAGAATTCATAAAAGCTCTATCAAGTTGATATCTGATGACAGAGAAGTTATCTCTACTCCTAAGATCAATGGAATTTACACTCTGCAAGCTGAACCTCTGGTAGGTTACAACTCTGCAGCCATTGATTTGCAATGTGATAAGTCTTTAATTTGGCATAGAAGACTTGGCCATATGTCTGATAAGGGATTAACTATTCTAAGTAAACTTGAATTTTTTGG